ATATTCGTGATTTTGGAATTTTCAACATCGTCTGAACATGCGTACACACACACACACACACCGATTCGTTCGAGCTGTCGTGGTCAGCTGAACACACCCTGAGAAGCACGATGTCACGTGCATGCGCTGACTCCTCTAACCCGGTCACTACCCGGTTCAACAGACCAACGACAACACTCTCCGATCTCTCTCCCATCCCACCCCCACCCCCGGCCATCACCAATGCGCCACACCAATCAGGTCATCCTCAATGACGAATGGATCGATGTGTTAGTCAAACAACGAAACAATGAGATTGCCCGCTCCTTTTCCGCCTTTGACCTTGATCACAATCTGCAATCGCCACGATCCCCTTCTGTGATTGTTCCACCTTTCCCTCGACCCCACCCCTAATCCTGACTGATAATAATAATAATAATAATTCACATGCCAGCCTGCTTTTAACAAACTGTCGACTTGCTGACAGACTTGCATAGTTTAACTATCTTTGGATTTCACCAAAACGTGTTCATCTCTCTCTCTCTCCCGTACACACAAACACACACGGGATCATCAAAGCCAATCATCCCACCCTCTCCGACAACCGCTGGCTAAATAGCTGTACACATTTTGCATGCAAATGGATTGCCTTTCACTCCCCCTCCTCTGCCAACCCCCCACCCCGCCGTCTGTGGTTTCACCCCCTGTTCTCGTGTTTCATTGTTTGATTCCGATTATCTTTTTGTTCTTCTGTCATTTCTGAGTGGAATAGAAAGGCGATGAGTGGGTTTGTTGAAGCTTGTGAGTGGGTGGGTCGGTTGAGCCAGCGGATGCTGTATGTGCTCTTCCTTACTATACTCCCCCTTCCTCATTCGATCCCGACTGTATTATATGTCTAATCTTGCCCACCCTTGCTGTCCCGATGCGCTCGCCTTGGATGGTAAGCATATATGTCCAACCATTTGTACCACTTGCTTGCCTATCTCTGTCTTCGTGCTAACGGGACTAACCACAATTATGTTCCATTCTTATTTCACTCCTTCATGGAGGGGGGGCGTCTCCTATCCTTTCTGCCACTCCCACCGTTCACAGAAACCTATCCCCATCGGTTAGACGGAAACGCCTGTGCGCTGATAATACTCGTCCATTTTCTGACTTTACCCCCCNGGTTCGCCGTCACCGACAAAATGTACTCACTCTTTTTTTCGTGACCTCCACTTTCCCACTCAGTCGACCACTCATGTATTCTCCATTGAGCGCGCACGCGCACGCAAGCTCTCTTTCGCGCGCGCGCACACACCTATTGTCGAGTGTCTTTTTTAAGCAACAATGATATGCCAACACGGACAACCAATTTGTCAACAATCTCATGTGGTTTTTCATGCTTTCCCATTTGATTGGGGGCTGTTGGGATTCATGATGTAATTGTTCCACAACGTGGATGAGAAGTGTCACTTAACTCAGCTTGCTGTTTTGCTACGTGCAAACGGTGAGAGTACCTTAGCGAGCATGCGAGGGGCCAACATGAGAGTGTAAGATGTCTTGTGCACGGGCAATTGGATCGCATCTCTCCTTCTTACTTTCCGTATTATTTGAGAAAAATGTTCTTATGTAATAATCCGCCAAATTGCCATGGAGCAATGATCAGACATTTCAATCCAAGTGCGTTAGCAAATAAATTTCGCAATGTGAACGCGTGTTGCTAATTGATGAGAGCAGAAGGTGAGATAAGGAAATTTGGGGTGAATAAATGATGGAGTTGTGGGCCTTTTTGGAGGGGGGGGGGAGTGAATCTGTCGGAATGAACCTCTTAATGGACATCGTTTCAGCTGTTCTCGATCTTCGGATGATATATGCAAAGTAAATTCCGAGTGCGTCCTGAGCGCTGAGTTGAAGTCAGGTCAAAATATGCACCTGGGAGATGAATTTTCAACACTTTTGTCGAAGAAATATGCTCACTCTGAAAACACCAAAAAAGAACGTGTTTTTTCACGAAGACAGAAGCGACCAATATGAGTGTTCTTTTATAACGTCACTGAATAGCTACGAAACAAACCAAATAGTTTAGAGAACGCGTTCGGATGACCCCATCGATCAGATCGAACATTCCAAGTAAGCCCGACACGCTTGTACTGGCCATTCAATGTATAATATAAAAAAGCAGCTTGTTTCGCCTACCGAATCGTGTTTTGAACATGGCAATGTGTATTTTCTCATTTTCTGATTTCAGTAGTTGAAGATGGTTTGGAACTGGACAGTTCGTCCGAGAGCCCGTAGGTTCACAGACAGTCCCGTGGATGAGAACTCGAAACATCACATGTCGGATGCTTTCACCTCGAAAACCACTGAACTTCACTGGAAAGAGAGAAGGAGAGATGGTATGGCTAAAACTTCTCATACTGACTCAGGTCAGTGTTTTCTGTCCAACTCACATCACCAATGGGGTGGTTAAATGTGTGTGTTAAAGAGGTTTCCCGTTTCATTTGCCGATGAATTGCCCCATAGTAAAATCGTCTGAATATACAACTAGAAAAATGGGAAAAACGCATCTTTAATGGGAAAACTACACCCACACCAACCAAAAGAGATTTCCATATAAAACGTGCACTTTGGCAAACGATGTTCGCAAGGGAATTCCTTTTCCATATATCGCGTCAGGCGGTTGCATGTCGTATCAGGCGATATTGGTTCAGATACATGACTGACTGAGTACAGCTCAGCCTTGAATGATAACAGAAGCGAGCAAGCCGATCAAGCGAATGTGAGAAAACTAACGATGGTTCATGTCAGAGTCATAGAGGAGGCTCAACTAAGATCAACTGAAATGAGAAACGGGCGCACTGATTAACGTTTTGGTGAGGTCTGCGAGCTAAGGTGAGAGACAGATAACGTGGCGTAAGATACACTATATAAATGGTTTGTTATGATTAAAATGTGATGTAATCGGGATAGGACAATAGAGAATGAAGGGATAAATTAATAATTAGGAATGTCATGAATGTTCCAGGGTAGCTGCGATGGGGGAGGGAGACGACAATCCACTTTCTTCACGCCCAATCCCGCATTCGTGTCAGAGTAACAACGGTGTCTGGATTAACTTCTTTTGCCCCACAACGTAACATGATTCAGATTACTTTAGTTTTTTTATTATGCAACCACTCGATGCAGTTTAAAAGGGGTAAACCCGTGAAAGGAATAATGTACATGGGGTGGACATTCAGGTGAGAGTGAGTCCGGTGATTAGGCTTTTGAAAAGGATAAGGTAATATATAGGTTCGGAGGAAAGCTGTGGGAGGCATGGTAATCCACGCCCTTGCAGTTCTTGGAGTGAAAAGAAGCACAGCCACTGGTTTGTGGATGAGACTGATGTGGAAAACCAGAGGGAACAGCGACTGCGAGAACGATCTCAGGGGAGCAGAACTCACAGTGACAACGATAAAAGAGGTACAAAGAGGCAATTCACTGGCGATTAGTGACGCAAGCGTCATCGTTCCGTCACCAAACACGAACCGTCTAGTCACCTGAAATTGACCAGTTCATCATTCGGGTGTAGTCGTCAGAGCAACACTGAGTTTTTTCGATACCCATTTCCAATGAACCGAATACGAACAACCGTGATGGAAGAGTATTTTTAACCGATTTTCCCGCCCAGTCGGACTCGTACGGGAACTGTACACATAGCGCGCAATCCCAGTGATCCGTAATATTAGTCACAGCACTTCACCGACGAATGAACATTGCAAACCTGTTCTACCATAAGCTACTGATAACGCGGACAGTTGTTTACTGATCAGGCTAACTTGTATTGACCAATGCACTGTTGCCCTTCGGTTTGTCCCCAATACGTATC